AAAGCCTGCCATCTATTCCAACCTCCAACCTTGATTTTCCTTAGCCTTCAGTGAGTGTGTGAGTGCATGTGAGTGTGTGGCTTTGCTTTATAATAAAAATATATTCATCGGAAGCATCTGCCTCAGCCCTATTTCTGGGATTCCCTGGTCTTCTCGGTATACACCTAGGGAAGACGGTACCGCAGGGCACAGTAGCTGGCCCATCTCGCAATATTGGACTTATTATAAATTCCCCTTAATTAGACCCTTGGCTACACAAGGTTGAGCCAAGACATTTTCCTGCCTCAGGTAATTCCTTTGTTGCAACAGCTCCACTGGCTGCTGGTTTGATTCGGGTGCAATTCAAAGTGTTGCTGTTATTGTTGTTGTGTACCTTCAAGTTGTTTCCAACTTATGGTGACCCTAAGACAAACCTATCATGGGGTTTTCTTGTCAAGCTTCTTCAGAGGGGGTTTGCCTTTCCTATCCTCTGAGGCTGAGAGCATGTGACTTGCCCAAGGTCACCCACTGGGTTTCCATGGCTGAGCTGGGATTCGAACCCTGGTCTCCAGAGTCATAATCCAACACTTAAAACACTACACTACACTGGCTCCCTATTTTTGACTAACAAGGCCCTATGTGGCTGAGGTTCAGGTTATCTTTCCTATATGAGTCTGCACGGACTAAATAAATGGCCTCCCTTGTGTTCTTGGCAGGGAGTCTGGATGACACAAGGCCCAATTTCTGACTCTGGTGCGAACAGTCCAGATGGCATTCAGTGCCAAATCTGGGGCGTAAGACAGTGCATTTTAAAAAGTTCCAATTGCTCTGGATCTTTGGAGAAGATCTGGAGCCTTCTGTTCTAATGCTGGGAGGCTGTTCATCCTGCTGCACCACCTGAGAGTAGAATGAGGTGCCTAGCTCTGGGATCGAGGCTGGGCACTTTGTTCCAACCTCAGAATAAAATGACTTGTGGTGGCCACGCTGGGTAACATGGTAGGATGTGCATGTAAACAGCCGCTCAACATCAGACTGAGGGCCAAGGTAACAAACCGGGAGCAGATTCTGGACCAGAATACTTTGGGCTGCCCCCAGAGAATCCTGGCCAGTGCTGGCAGCAACTTGGTTTTAAATCCCTTATCTATGCTTCTTAAGATATCTCATGTGGGGGACTGGCAATTTCTCCCTCCATGTGCCATGTTTGTGTTCATTGGCTACATTTTCCCCTTTCTTTCCTGGAAGCTTCTCCAGGGATTTGGAGTAGATGGCTCAGGGACCATCACTGGTCCTCAAACCACCACTTTGGGTAGCATTGATCTTGATAATGGTGCAGTTTATTTGGAACATGTTGATATTTTTTTAAAAAGGAGGCAGTATTTCATAAGAACACTCTCAATTCCTGATTGGCTAAGATTGCTTTGCAAAGCACTGCCCTCCTTCTGAATGGGCTTTATGTGCTTTCAATAGCATTTACTGAATCATCATCAAGCCTATCCTGATTGGCTAGGATTGCTTTGCAAAACGCTGTCCTCCTGAATGGTCTTTATTTGCCTTTGGTAGCATCAGTCAAATCATCATCAAGCCTATCATATGATCCCTGGTTGGCTAGGACTATCTGAAGAGGAATGGTTCAAAATTAAATTGGCAGCAAAAAGCAGCTGAAGGAAAACAGTGGCTTAGAATAGGATTAATTGGTAAATGAGGATTTTGCATCACATAGAACTTTTGAAGCAAAATGGCATCTGATCAGTTTAATGAATGGCATGAGGACCTGTATCCCTCAAGATCTAGTCCAGTATGCTAACCTCTGTACCACAGTAGCTCAGACCTCAGCGTCATAAAGTTATGTTGATCTAGAGCTTAGGAAAATGACTTTTAGGGGCTGTAACTCCCAAAGTGGTTGCTATGCTGGCTGGAGAGGTCTGGAAGTTGTAGTCCCAAATAGTAACTTTTCCAAACTCTTCAATAATTATCATCTGGATCCTAGAACCATCCAGCTCTGCTTTTCCTCCTCTATTGGGGTGGGCATAATGCAGACGTCCGGCTGTTATTGGACTGCAGCTCCCATTAGTCCTGGCCAAAATTAAACCCACCACATTGGAAAACTGGGATACATGTGGCCAAGCAACATCCGGAAGTGGTCAAGATGGCAAAAGTACTGAATGGTATGAATGGCAGAGCCTATATGTAGAGGCTATATTGAATGGTATGAATGGTAGAGGCTACATGTTTGGTAGTTATTGGAAGTGAAGAATGTAATGTTATGATTGAATTGATTGAAATGTACGTAGGTAATTTGCAAGATGTGAATGAATGAAATGTAATACTGTCTTTGTTATATGGGTATATTTGTTTTTGAATTTTTAATGAAAACATTAATAAAAATATTTTTAAAAGATGGCAAAAGTTTTGAATGAGGATGCAGCAGTTTACTTTTGCCTCATCCTGCTGAGAAGAGCAAGATTCTGCCTGCTAACTGAGTAGAAGTTAATTTTGTACTTTGAACCCAGTCTGCAGTGATGGCAGTAAGCCAAGGACAAAGAGGGAAACTGGGAAGAAGGGAAATAAACTGGCATATTTTAAAAGCAGCTGAAAATGTGGGATGACAGAGGATTAATCAGGACTGTCCCTGTCAAATCTGAAGAGTATGTCAATGTTGACAGTGAGAGCTGTTTGAAAGTGGAAGGGCTGAATGGCCATCTGTTAGGGATGCTTTGATTCTGAGTTCCTGCATGGCAGGGGGTTGGACTGGATGGCCCTTGGGGTCTCTTCCAACTCTGATTCTATGATTGAATTCATTATATGTTGTTTTAATTAAGATGTTTTAATTGTTGTATGGTTTAATATGGTTTTAAGGGGTGGGCGGGTTTGGGGGGGTTGTAGGTTTATATGTGATATGGAATTTTAATTGTTTGCCGATTGTTCTCAGAGGGGCAGGGTATAAATAATTTATTATTATTATTATTATTATTATTATTATTATTATTATTATTATTACATTAATTCTCCATAATATCAAGTGCTCCTGTATTGTCCAGCTACAGAGTTTGCTGTTATTCATAGACACTAGCATAGTTCTCTGTTTTTCTTCCAAGAAATTACATCACACCAGCTCAATTGGCTTGTAAAACAGTTTCCCCTTCCCATCCCATGCTCCCTGTCCAAGTCTTAAGAAATTCACTGGTGACTCAATTGCCTTATGCCTTTTGCCATCCAGTTTAACTCTTTTCCCCAGGGGCAATTCCCTAGCTAGGCATCTGCCCAATGATGTTGCCTCCTTGGCTTATATTTTTCTCTGACTTTCTCGGAATTATGGAAAATCTCATTGCACCTCCCTAATTATCACAATATAATCCGGCTCCAAAGGCCAAGTGAGTCATGGTGATAGTTTATTATCTCCTAGAACAGGGGTAGGCAACTTAAGGCCTGGGGGCCGGATGCGGCCCCCGAAGGCCTTTAGACTGGCCCCAGGCTGGTCCTGCCACCGCTCCCTGCCGCCGCCATGATGATATTGATTATTGTTGTTATTACTTGTTCTTGGGGTTTTCTTGGCAAAATCTCCACAGGGGTTTTGCCACAGCTTTTCTGGGGCTGAGAGAGTGTGCATGCATATTTTTTAAATTTTTTTTAAAAAGATATATATTTTTATTTATTTATTTATTTTTGGTGCTTCGGCTCCCCAATTGTCTGAGGGACAGCAACCCGGCCCCCGGCTCAAAAAGGTTGCCTACCCCTGTCCTAGAAGGAGCCCAAGTGTGTACTCACAAGCTGATGAAGGGAATATCTGCTGAGCACATGAGTGAAGCATCGCCTCTCAAGGCTGAATCAGTTCAGAGAAGTAGTGCCTGTGCAAACACAGACAAATAAAGGGAATTTGTAATAGCTGAAGCATGCTCAGGGCCAGAGATTGGAACACAGGAAGCTTCCTTATACCTACCCTCCAACTGTCCAAGGACGTTATCAC